CATGGACTAAAAAATTGGCGTCCATCTAGCGGCGAAAGTTGGAACTACAAAAATATAAAAATGCGATTTTCTCGAAAATTAGCGAACTATGAGTACTTCCGAGGCTCTGAAAGTGTTATGTGATCGCATTAGAAGCAAAATAATGCAACAAAAGCTTCCTAAAGGCTTTAATAAAGAAAATAAAAAAAATGTCATTTTATGGAGAAAATTTGTGGCGCCATCTAGCGGCGACACTGCGAACTAAATTGAAAAAACGTATGGCCGAACTCGCGTTAAGGGGTCAAATAAAAATTGATTTTCTGGGCTGAATAGGCAAAAAAAGGAGTAACTTATTCAACAAAAATTGCTTTAAGATGTCTAAAGCAGCATACTATGTCGTCAAAGTTACGAAATATTACTTTTTATATTTTTCCTTAACGCGAGTATGGGCATACGGTTTTTCAGGTTAGTTCGGAGTTTCGCCGCTAGATGGCGCCACAAATTTTCTCCATAAAATGACATTTTTTTTATTTTCTTTATTAAAGCCTTTAGGAAGCTTTTGTTGCATTATTTTGCTTCTAATGCGATCACATAACACTTTCAGAGCCTCGGAAGTACTCATAGTTCGCTAATTTTCGAGAAAATCGCATTTTTATATTTTTGTAGTTCCAACTTTCGCCGCTAGATGGACGCCAATTTTTTAGTCCATGAAATGGGCTATTTTTCTATTTTCCTTAATAATTGTCCTAGCAGGCTATAATTACATTCGTTCGATTCCGTAGGCGATAAGGAACAATTTGTATATCTCGGAATTCCGGAAAAGTCCCTAGTTTTCGAGAAAATCGAGATTTTAGGTTTTCGTAGTTCCGCCGCTCGCCGCTAGGTGGCGCCACCTGTACCGTTTTCGACCGAATTCGACCAAAATTGATTTCCTGGCTTTATTAGGCATCAAAACGCATCAAACCCTAATAGAAATTTGTTTCTGAATGCCTCAGGAACCATACTACGTCGTCAAAGTGCCGAAATATTCATTTTTTTATTTTCCTTATATGCGTGTTCGGACCCTCACTTTTTAGGATCAGTTTTTCGGTGATTATTCATTCGCTTGTCTTCGGCTCGCTCGCTCAATAAAATTCATACAAACTCCTTTTTTTATTAGAAATATATTTATTTATTGTACTTATGCATACATGTAATATCCTTGTGTGTGGTATGTAATGAAACAAGGTACAAAGAAAAAGTAGAGGAAACATAGCTGCTCGCATAATGCAGAATTTAGTTAATGCTGTAAAAGAGAAGATTTGAATCAGTTGATTTGTAGTATATCAACAATAAATTAATATAAAATTACAATAGAAATATATGAACATAATTTTTTCAAGGTGAAAGCAAAAGGTAACTTAATTAAACATGGTTTTGTAAGAGATGATAGAAAATAGGATTAAGGATTAGTGTCTGAAGTGAGAGATCATTAACATATTCAGAGGTGAACTTACGAGGTGAATGTTGTAGGATGCACCAATGTTACTGTCACAAACTGTGTTTATTTTTATCATTAATGTGTATTATTTATTATAAATAAGTTAGAAACATTGATTTCATTTTGGGCTTGGTAGGTGTTTACATATTATACACACAAAAAGAATACCCAACATATTATGCTTTCAGAAAAGTGTATACTTTTGACAAAAAATGGTTTACAAATGAACTATAGCCACAAATTTGCGCGTCATTCGCTCGTTTTTTTTTTCGATTCAGGCGAAAGAAAGCCTGTTTGTCTCAACCAATTTTCTATCTTCTATTAAAATGTTTCACACACGCTGCACACGCATCGCACATTAACATTCTTACACGCATACACACTCACACGCACACACAGACACGCGCGCTACCATTCTTTTTTTTTTCATTACCACCGTTTTTGCACTTCCAGTTACATATTTATTTCTTCTCCTTCGCTATCAGTCGTTCGCTTGAATCTCATGCACACACTCCCACTGGAAACCAAGCAATATTAATATTAATTTTTAATATTATTATTATTTTTATCGTTATTATTACTAATATTATTATTATTATTTATTATTATTATTATTATTCAATATTATTTGTTATTATCTCTTAATATTATATTTTATCCAATGTATTTATATATTTTTTTTTCTTTCATATAAAGTCAGTGTTTCAACCACAGTAGGTATGACACATGCTGCCCAGTGTGCGTGCAGTGTCAGTAAGATCAGAGTTGGACGTTTAGGTTGTACAAGTCCAAACGTCGCACTCTACATTTATCAATCTGTCTAACACCGTAAAGAGTTTATAGTGCAAGTATTCCCTCGATCCATACGGTGCAGTTTGTACCACCTTCCTGTAAACGTTCTCGCTCGATAGAACATCAAAAGGTGGTAGAAACGATAGACGTTAGGGAATACGAGCAGTTGGGCAGCGCGCTAGCCGGCATGAGCGAGCGCAGGCAGTGAGCAGTTCATACATACGTACACTGTTAATGTGGATACAATGCGGGCCAGGAACATACATGTCCCTTGCAACACGATGCTGTGCCAACAAGCGAGGACTGGACGAAACAAAAGCCACCGTTTACGATTAAAAAGGGTTTGTGCTGTTCTTAATCGTAATCAGGAAAATTATGATTGTATGGCATGAAATCGCAGTCCTCGCCATTCTGTGCACAGCTTACGAGGACAATCGGTAACAGAAGAAATTCTGCCACCTCACGTCTCCTAATTACCTAAATGTCCCATCAAACGGATGTTTCCTAAAAGGTTATTGATATCGAAGGGTGATAAACTTCTCTTCTTCGCTGATTTCATGTTGCACCCCCCTCCCTCCTCCCCCCTCCCCCATTTTCTTTCTGGCGCTACCCTATGTTTCAGTTTATATTTAATTTATAACAATATCTTTACGATGAATTATGAATTTGAGTCGCATGCAGAAAAAACTTTTATTCGCTTCTGGCACAGATAAAAAAACACTTTGGCTTTTGCATCTAAGAAAGGATTGCAATAAAAACACCACACTAGTAAATGGCACTAGAATTGCTCTCACTTGTGTCACTGACTACTTTGTGATTAAAAAGCGTTTGTCCTTCTTCATCTTTAGTTTCTTGCTGAGATCTCTCAATTTGAGATAAACACTTGGACAGACATTTGTATGGCATGGCTGCACTCTATCTTATACGTTTATTTATATGTTGCATCGTGGTATTTTGTTATATAAAAATCAGATGATTACGCAGTCAGCCAGGCATGATTGACTAAACTAATCTATAAAAAGGTAACAAATTCAACAAATAGAGTACGAAACTAAATCAATTTGTTGGTATTGACAGTGAAAAGGTTAGGAAAGAACGTATAACGCTCAGATTTAGGTCCATATTTGTTCATCGCTGTTACCTCCGTCATAAAATTTTACTAATCAGTTGGTACACTTGTAATGGAGCAGCGAACGTTACGCTGATGGCACCACAAAATTACTGTTTACTTTCCGCCTTTATCTCATCTCTTCTCCATTTGTAACTTGACAGTGTCCACACTAATACCTTGGTCAGGGTATAAGAAAAATTGTTAAATCCATCTTGAGTGTTATATATTGTCGTCTAAACCAAATTGTACTCTTTTAAGTTAGACTGGAGAATGGTGTCTTTCACTGCTGCAAATACAAATCTGATGTTTTCGGTATCTGTAAAATGAAAAGCATATTTTAACATCATATTAATCAATAGCACTACACATAATAAGTGCACAAGCATATGTTAGTAATCTTATTAAAAGAACACACTTACCCTTAATAACAGAATCAGAATGAACTGAACACATGCAACATGCAAGTTCTTTGTGTAAAATTGACAACAACAACATATAATGCAATGTAGTTTATTTTATAAGAATCATTAAAAGAATCAGTTGTATAACAGCATATTTACATTGAGTAACTAAAGCACATAAACTGATGACAATTTTACTTATCTTTGTAATTATTAAAGTGATACAAGTTACAATTAATTGCAGAGATTTTATAAAATCTGTATAAAAGGAAAAGAAATTCTATGCAAGGCAATTAGTTCAAATTATTTGTAATTTTGCTGAAATATCAGATGTCCTTGGAGAAGGAGATATGTAAGTTCTATACCCGCACAAATGTGAAATATTATACTATTTGTTCATATTTTTAACTGTGCTTTATTAAACAAAATAAACAGATCTATTGGTAAAAGAATATATTGTTAAAAGTTTCCTAAGCAGAGCAAAGTCACAGTTTGATCAAATTTAGAGATTCAAAAATTGTGGAGTAACATCAAACTGTATTGCAAACAAATATGGTTTGTATTATCCATGCATTGAAACTTTGTGCAGACTATAATGATGCAGTACTCCTTCCAAACAACATTAATTGAACTAATAAAACTATTTCATTAGATTGATAATGTTAGTGAAATTAAACAACTGTTGCTTGCATTTTTCCCCTTTACTTTTCTCTGATCATGACAAATGGTTTCATTAGAAATGATTATGTATGAGTAAGATTACATAGGGGAAAAAAGATTGGCAGTCTTAATATTTGCACAGGAAATAAGCTAATTCAGTTTTACTGTTTGATTAAACATAAACAATGGTGTTATAAAAATATGTGTAAGCTTGCAACAAAAAAGAATACAATGCATGTAACGTTATACACAAAGATCACATATATAAATTCCAAACATTGTCCAGAATCATATTAGGCAAGATTGAATTCCTTAAGTGCACTTTGCATGATCGTATCTTTGACAGCACAGAATACAAGCTTGATATTTTCCGTATCTGATGAATAATCCCATAAACGCAGCATGCAATGGTAAACCACATATAAGTGTAAAAAAATAATTCATGTCGACCATGAAAAATCAACACATTAGAATGTATGTACATAATTATTTACAAGTTTCAAACATTCTATTAATTGATTTTTTTATAATGAGTATCATAAAAGTTACACACCTTTAGCTGGGAAATACAGGCAACATGCAGATTACTTTATACAACATATACATAATATTAGAAAAGCAAAAATAAAGTGCACATTAGCATCAAATACTGGCAATCTACCTGTGGCACACGTAAAATGTGAATAAATGATCTTCTCAGAGTCTGGATTCAAGTCGACAAACATCCTTAAAATGAATTCTCTAGCAGTCGAGGCATTTCTTTGTGGGCCTGTGAAATATACAAAGCAGGCATATGAATTGACATTACCTTAATGCGTACTCACTCAAAAGCGCATACAATAAGTGTTTCTTTATAACAATTATAAATTGTCAGTGGGACATTATTTTAGGATTTGATTAATTTGTATGCCAGTTATACTGTACAGTTACCTACAAAGATATGTTTTTACATTATTTAAGAAACAAAAGAAAAAAAATTCCTTCTCATCTGTTTTATCCAATCAATACTATCCTTGTTATCTAAATCCAATAGATGTTGAAGGACGTATTATCGAATTAGATTCTATTAACTCTCAAAGAAACCTTTAAATAAAGCTTTACCAATCAAATAAATACCTTATATAAGCATGATACATTTTATTAGATTACGGTGCATATTTTTTGAACGTGATAGCATGGTTCTGAGTAAACTAAAAAGATCTGGCTATATCTAACAAATTGATTCACAACTGTAAATCCACAGTATTATCCTGAATCAAACTAATTATTGTATATTCTACAACTCTGTTCTACTTTTCAAGCTAAGCCTTCTTCATACTTAGTTTTTTGGTTTCAAACAAAAACCAAACCTGCTCGAGTGCAAGTTAGACTTCTTTTAATTAAGGATAAGTATAAATGAGTGAAGTGATATCCCATCTGCTATACTTTCTCCTCAACTAAGCGAAGCTTAAGTTGCACAAACTTATCATAGATTATATTATAGAGTTTTATATACACTGAACAATGGTATCACCCCTATACCCCATCAATTCCTTCAACTGTTTCTATAGTAGGGGAAGGGTTAAGCTTTAAGAAAGCAATTACAACTTCTCAAGTCATAATTACTGGGTCAAGTTTTTACTGGAAAATTTTCTACAAAACATCTATGATATCTCTGCCAGGATGTGTTGTACTTAAACAGACCTGTCGCACACGTGAAGTGAGAGTAGCACATGCGGTCAGGATCAGGATTCGTACTAAGATACACCTTTAAGATGAATTCCCTGGCCGGTACATCTTGCTGTTTAGGGCCTATACCATAAAACTTATTCATTTACTAATAATAAAACGAATAATATACTCCAACAAAACAATACAAAATAAATAGAAAACTTGATCCCCTAAACAATCATTGATACTTTTATATTAGGAGTCAGAATGCACCTCAATTATCTGATAAAAAGACATAAATATCTTCTGATAACTACAATCACTTTGAAGACTGTTAACTTGCAAATTCAATTAATTTATAATACTAATACAGTGTCATCTTCATTAATCATGAAAGTAAATGTGGTATTATAATGTACTCACCATCATATTCAGGGAAATAGTCAACAAGATGGGAATACATAATCTTCTCTTCAAGCAGATCTTTTTTATTTAGGAACAGAATGACAGAGGAGTGTTGAAACCAAGGATATGTGATGATTGTTTTGAACAGTGCCTTACTTTCTTCCATTCGATTCTGAAAATTAATAATAGCAATTGTTAATACCATTTAATCTATAATAAAAAAGCATTAATATCATGTTGATATTTACCTCGTTTTCCGACTCAAACAAAATTTGATCGTATTCACTTAAGGCTACTAAGAAGATTATAGAAGTAACATTTTCGAAACAGTGAATCCACTTTCTTCTTTCTGATCTCTGTCCACCAACATCTACCATCCTGTAAAGTATATTGTTTAGTACATAGCAATATGTCAAAACACTTTTCTACGCACCAATAAACAACTTACAATTACCAAATGCAATTTACAAATAATTTCTACTACTATCTCACATATTAGCATTTAAACTACTGAAATAGTTACTGTTTAATTTAGTAAAGTATCTACAATACTTGTAACTATAATTGCATGGGGAACATGCAAGCAAAAAGCTACTCCAAGCAAAAGAAGAGTATACATTTGAAGGGGAAAAAATGATAGGAAAATACAACAAAACCTCACGTTATAAGTAGCAAATGTATTTTCAAAAATATTTCTTAATACCCGCATATAATAATGTTCAAGAGAGTATACGATTGAATCATGCCAAGTATAAATAAAGAACGCTATGATGGCCTAATTAGTAATTAAATGAAAGAAAAGAAAATTGAGCAACGCTAGGCAATACTTGTAATAAAGCTGCAGAACCTGGCACCCCCCGTAAACAAAATTCTAGTTAATAAATAAAAAATCTAGTAAATAAATATGTAAGTACTTTAGTATCTTTAATCAATTACTCCAAGTTAGTAGTAAGGTAACTACTGATCACTAACAGTAGAACTAAGTTGAAGTAATAAGTGTGTTAGTACCTAAATATGATGGAGTCCAAATCAAACGGATATTCTATAATGCCAGTTGTGGGAGCTCGAGCCCGAAGAATGTCTTGTTCGGTAGGAAGGAAGTCGGGCTTTTCGATACGTTCTAGATCACTAAGATAACTGCAAAACAAACAAAGCCACATTCTGGTAGTGTGCATGCCATGCATGTATTATAAGCGATTAACAGGAGAGGGGGCAATGGTAAATATAGTGAAACAGAGTTCACACATGAGCGTCGGCCTCTGTCTGGAAGAATTTTCGATAATTAAAGGTTCATTGATTCTGTTGTTCCATTGATTTGCTCTCGTGGCGATAGTAACTCACCTTTGGACAGAATGAAAACTCCCAATAAAAAAAGAGAACTATTTAGTCTGAAAGCGAAAGGTTCAATGGAATGTGCATTTCATAACTATGAAACCAATTAAAAATTTCCTAGTTTCAAATCACATAGTTACATTTTGTAGTAGATTGTTGTAGATACATCACATGGAAGATGAATAGTATGTTTTAAGAAAATCAATCTTTATGATACAGTAGACTCTCCTTATTATTCCCATGGACATAGATAATAAAGCCATCTTATGAACGGCAATATAAAGAGAGTCAGTTGTACATTTGTGAGAATTAAATAGTTTTATGGTTTTCCAGTTATGACACGCAACAGTAGCAAAAAGGCAGCAAAGGAAGACAAAGAGAAAGATGGAGTGACGAGTTTCATGCACGGAGTTGGTGAAGTTGGTGAATAACAGAGTATGCAGACACGATGCAGAAAGAATCCGATGTAAGTAGATCACAGGCACAGGCAGCTTCTTCCTTTCTTTGCAACGACGGAGACGTACCTAAATCGGATCTCTTCCAAGTCAAAAGGATATTCAATTATACCGGTAGTGGGCACTCTCACGCGAAGAATGTCCTGTTCTGTGGGGAGGTAGTCTGGTGCCGCGACTCGATCTATCTCCATTAAGTAACTGAAACATCATATTCTCAATACCTGATACGCAAGAGGAAGCACAGCACGTTCCCAAAAACGAAGCTACGCAAAAAGTATGATGAGTGTGTGTGACTGAAACTTCAGACCGTGTGAACACTTTGCATTCGAAATTTACATATTAACATTTATTTTTCATTTTTTAATTTTCAGATCCCGCAAACCAATAGTAGAGAGAAACACATGAGAAGGAAAATGTTTATTTCAGTATTGAATGAATACATCTTTCGAGTGCAAAGGATCAACAGTATGGGAGTTTATATCAGGGACCATATTGGAATTGATGTAAAAGAAATATAAGTTAACACCGGTGAGCATGGATGACTTCCCTAGAGAAAATGGCGTGGAGGCCTTACTCGTTATTCGTCTCTGTCCTTTGATTAATATTCCACCATGTATTTCAGATCAAACACACTTGATAAAAGTTCAAAGTTAAAATTTATTTCATTAGATCAATTAAAATAAATGGTGGAATTCCCAACACCATTTTCCCTAGACACGTGCATCATGCTTTCCAGTGTGCAGTGCGGTGCACTGTAGAGTTCCAGCAGAAAAATGACGTCTTGCTTTTCCATCGCCATTTTCCCTATGGAAGTCTATAGTGCTTATCCATTCCATACATCACCGTAACTTACTATTTAGCGGAATCTGTGAGCTGATATTCTCGCCTGCGATCGTAACACTCTTGGATCCCGGCGTCTGCCCACAAATCCTTGATTGCTTCTACGTATGGACTCTCGAACGTTGTAACCGTTTCGAAATCCACGCTCCGCACGAGTTCTGCCTTTTCCTACGATTGAAAAAAAGCATTAGATTAGCACGTTCGATGATAAAACAAGATTAAAGTACTTACTATATTCGAAGAGTCTCCGTACTGGATCTTGAGGAGGTCCATGGCTCGGATCATGGACTGCATGGCCATGAAAATGTTTTGATAGACGAGTTTGATGAACCCCCTCTTGTCGTCGTCCGAGTATCCGGAACCGTGGATGATTCTCATCTGTTTGATGAAGGTGGATTTGCCGGATTCACCAGTACCTACAACCATAATTAACACCATCGTTATTTACTGCGTCGTTTACTACGTCTTATAAGAAGACGTAATGCATCGAAACAAAATTTACAATCTCGTTATATCCTAGCAGAAACTATACCCAAAACTCGTTCGAAAATAAAAAGAGTCCACCTCTATATGAACAGTAACACCGAATACGAATATTCTCGTGTTTTGGTCGCACCGAAATTGTCAATTAATAAAACGCGATGCTCGTATAACAAGGAACGTTCGGTAATTAATACGTGAATTTAATTATTCATTTGCAGCTGTAACTCGTTGTTAACTGCTTCGTTGCCAGCAGCGCGAATTAGCAGCGTAGGTAATTAACACTTCGAAACGCGACCGAATGTTTCTATTTGTTCAGAAAGGGAAACGGATCCAACGCGTGACGATATAACGCTTGAATACACAATGCATGGTGATATAACGTGTGGTAATATTATGAGTAATATAATGCGTGGTTATACTACGCATGGCGATAAAACCCATTAATGTATAACTTGTGGCGATATAACTCGAGAAATTGCAGCATATAGTTACGCTGTGTGTGAATATAAAATTTATGGCAATATAATTCGAGAGTTTCTTTACGTAGTGATATAATGTGAGGATAGTAACATATGATATGACATATGGTGATATAACGCGAGGATACCAGCATATTGCGATATAACGCGAGGATTTCCAACACGTGGCAATATAACGCGAGGATTTCCAACGCGTGGCGATATAACGCGAGGATTTCCAACGCGTGGTGATATAACGCGAGGATTTCCAACGCGTGGTGATATAACGCGAGAATTTACAACGCGTGGTGATATAACGCGAGGATATCCAACGCGTGGCGATATAACGCGAGGATTTCCAACGCGTGGCGATATAACGCGAGGATATCCAACGCGTGGTGATAGAACGCGAGGATTTCCAACGCGTGGTGATATAACGCGAGGATTTCCAACACGTGGCGATATAACGCGAGGATTTCCAACGCGTGGCGATATAACGCAAGGATATCCAACACGTGGCGATATAACGCAAGGATATCCAACGCATGGTGATATAACGCGAGAATTTCCAACGCGCGGCGATATAACGCGAGATTGTATAAAAATTTGTGGTCTTCGAAATCTAGAGACGTACAGTTCGAGAAAAAAGGAATTGAAACTAGCATAATCTAGTAAGAAACAAATTAATCGAGTATATAATAATAATGCGTTTATAACCGAGTATCCCCTGTCCCAACTAATACAATTTCTTTCCTTCTTTCTCGCTAATAATAACACCGACATTAAATAGGTTGCAAGCCGATTAATTCGACCCTTATCGGATCATACGCTCGGAAGTGTGCAAATTAATTTTTTCCGCAACGAGTCTCGCTCGTCACATAATCAATTTGATAATCCATGGAATTACTCGTCGCTTACAAATTGTTCGAACGTTTCTTTCGTTAAATCAGGAATTACGGAATTCCGGAGAGGAACGATTATAATAGAACATCGGTCACGAACTTACGTCAAACGTGCCGAACGTGTGTCACGTACGAAAATTTTTCCGACACGTCAGTGATATGCAGGTCGCATTAAGGACGATTAAGAATTATTCGAATTTTTTCTTCCACAAAATTATTTTATAACGGAGTAATCGAATGATATGAAAATTGTACAGTAATAAAATATTAGAACGAAGAACTAGGATAGAAAAAAATATACATAGTGCATACATGTATATAACACACCCTTATATATATACATATTTATAGACTAGCCACTTATAGTAAATAATGATCGATTTCAAAACCTATACGCTTAACACAATTTGATGGCATAAAACTAGTAATGTATAGAAAATGGTTTTCAATACGTAGCTTTTCTTTTTTTCATATAAAAGAAAATCTATAATTACGGTATTATATAAAACGTGCAAAGGGTTAAGTATGAATAAGATATCGATTATTTATTAATAATCGATAGCTCTATCTCTAAAAGTAGATTATTGAAAGATTCATTCTTGGTATGCTAAATATTCTTCAAGTTTTAACGCTTGCATTGCTTCTATAACTTAGTGGAGTGATATAAATTGCTAAGTTTTCCAATTCCCTAGTTCCAACATTTCAAGATTCCACTCTCCGAGTATCCAAATTCTCTAGATCTAAAATTTGGAGATTCCACTCTCCGAGTGTCCAAACTCCCTAGTTCCAAAATTTCAAGATTCCACTCTCCCAGTGTCCAAATTCCCTAGTTCCAAAATTTCAAGGTTCCACTCTCCGAGTGTCCAAATTCTCTAGATCTAAAATTTGGAGATTCCACTCTCCCAGTGTCCAAACTCCCTAGTTCCAAAATTTCAAGATTCCACTCTCCCAGTGTCCAAATTCCCTAGTTCCAAATTTTCAAGATTCCACTCTCCCAGTGTCCAAATTCTCTAGACCCAAAATTGCCAAAACCCCATACTCTCCATTCCAAAAATCCAAACCATCAAATTCCCAAATTCCGAAATCCCCAAATCATCAAACTTCCCATAGAACCACGTGATTTCGCTTACTTTAAGACCAACTCCCTTGAGCTCCTACCCCTTCGTCGCCATTTCCCTAAGCCGATACCGCCATCTTCCCAAAATCCTTTCTCCGCCGTCGTGCATCGACAATACGCGAATTGCGTGTACGTCGAACGGCGATATAGTAGCGTTAATACGGTATAGTAGCACCGGCAACGAAACACGGCTAAAAGATGGAGCGATGACAAAAGAGGATGCGCAGGTGGTACACACGAACGGGCACCCGCTTGCGCGCGCTAGCTCGAAAGAGGGGAAGGGGAATGCGGAGGAGAGGGGATACGGCGCCAACGTCGCCCTCGTGAAATCATGAATGAAAACGAGCGAACGGCCAGCCAGCACTACTGTGTGCTATCTTACCACTACAGCCACACACGAATTTCCTCTCGTCTCCCTTTCGGATACTTATACACAAATATACATGTGCAAACACATATATCCATCGGTGTGCTCTCTTTTGTACGGTAGCGCTGTTCCGTCTTTTGTACGCGTCCTTGAGAAAAGACGAATCTCTGTTAACACGCCCTCATGTTACAGTATGCACAACGTAACGCTCCGGGAAGGGCAATTTGTATGGCGGCGTGAATGGCAGGCGTGGATCATTTTAAGAGGTTTATTTAGGCACGTATCTCATTAACCACGCGGAAACTGAGATTATTACGGGGAGGGAAATGAAACTGCTGAGGGACGTAGCAGGAATTAGCTAGGGATATTTGCATCTCCACAGGAATTAACATGAAGCTTTATATGGATGTTGAAATTTTTGAATTTGTAAATTATCGACTTTCTAATTGTCTATTCTTTACTGTCAATTTGTTTAAACTTGTTTGTCAACTTCTTTAAATTCGTTTATTGTCAATTTGTTTAAATTTGTTTATTGTCAATTAGCCTAAATTTTCTAATTATGTATTTGTCTAATTTCCAAGTTGTCAAGTTAAAAATTAATGAATGTGAACTTGACAATTTCTGTCAGAGTACAATTCCGAGTAATGGAAGGCCTCCACCAAGTCCTCAGCCCAAGTCTACCTAGGGAACCCTAGCCCAGTAGCAGCCTACGGTCTACCTGTAGACTCCACAGGTACTGGAAGCCTACGTAGCGATTTTTCCTTGCTTTTCCTCTCGACTGGTTTCTCCTCAAATTCGATTACGTGGAGAATGCCGGCGCTGAACGACTTACCACGGAAAGAAGCGGCAAGGGTCGAATGGGGACACAGAAAGTAAGTACGACGGAAGAACCTCGCTGCCCCGCCCACAACTTCGTTCATTCATTAACTTGTTTGCTCGTATAGCTAGCTTGCTTGTTCACATTTGCCGCCTTCACTCTTTTTCCATCACTATTCTGATCAATGTACGAGGCTCCTCTTAGGACATGGACACAATCTATACATTTTTAAATCTAACAGATGTTTGTATTATTTTTTAGTACTGATGGGGAGTTAGAAATTTAGGAACAGCACAGGAACATCCTTACAAATATAAAAATATCAGTAAAAGTATCAAATACACAGATGATCTAAATCAGCAAATGTAGAATGATGGTACAAAAATAAAAAAGTTAACAAGATTAATTCTGTACAGTATAAAAAGAATGTAACCTGCAACCCTCTTGAAGTCAATAGCCTTAGATACTCCACTAACTAACAGCCACTAAGACACCTAAATATCACAAGAATATCGCAAGAATACTAAATACCACAATTAATAGTATCAAAAATGGTAGATGCAAGAGACTATAACAGCATCAAAAACGGTAGGTGGAAGAGAGTAATTTACATGCATCGAAGAAGGAATGATTATTTCAAACGGTACTGTCAAATATGGTCGATAAGGGTTCATTTACATATATACAATCGTACTGTCCCGACGTCGTATCGTCACTGTAGTTTCCCCTCCTCGTGTCCATTCCCCTTATTCACTTATTCACTTTCACTTTCATTCGGTTATTCACTTTCTTTCGGAGGATGGACACGAAGAGGGGGCAGCCACGTTGACGGTACGATGACCATGTTGCGTACCAGACGCTCTTCATGGTCAGTCATGAAGATCACGTGCTTCCCTTACATTTCAAGGATATTCAAATCCACTATACTTCAGTTTACTATGACTCCAGGCAAGACTTTCGTGAATATCTCCCTTATTTTCAGTTTTAGGACAGAAGTGGTTATTAGGAAATTTGTAGATCAGAAAATTCTCTACAAGAAAGGTTCTATAGACTTTTACCGTAGGAGTAGCCATTTTCGTGTACGGTTATAAGTTTTTTAGCCCTACTTCTGACGAGAGGTCATGACTTTACAGGAGACTTTCGTGAATATCTCCCTTATTCTCAGTTTTAGGACAGAAGTGGTTATTAGGAAATTTGTAGATCAGAAAATTCTCTACAAGAAAGGTTCTATAGACTTTTACCGTAGGAGTAGCCATTTTCGTGTACGGTTAT